TTCTACCCTTTTGGTTTTCTAATTCCAGGTTTCTGCACATTTCACTATAATACTTGGTCTTCTTGAGGTCCCCTTTGAAATTTTCTCTTCATCTCTTTTACTTCCTCATTTCTTCCATTTGTTTTAGCATCACAAGTTTGATACTACTGTTATATTAACAGTATTAATAATGTCCATGAACACAAGATGTCCTTTCATTTGTTTAGGTCTTCTTTAGTTTCTTTCAGCAATATTTTGCAGTTTTCACTTTGCAAGTCTCACTTACTTGGCTGAATTTATGCCTAATTATTTTATTCTTTTAGCTACTGTTTTAAGTAGAACTTTCTTGATTTTCTTTTCCTGATTATTTGTACACAGAAATAGAACTGATTGTTGAGCACAGATTTTGTATCTTGGAATTTGGCTGAATTAACCTACTAGCTCAAGTAGTTTTACTGTGGATTCTTTAAGGCTGTCTACATAAAATAATATCATTATCATCTGGGAACAGAGACAACTCTACTGATTCCCTTTCAATTTGATGCCTTTGGTTTCTGTTTCCTGCTTATCTGTTCTTGCTGACACTTCCAGTACAATGCTGAAGTTGTTCTTGTTAGGTGCAGTCAAGTCAATTCTGACTCACAGTGACCTTATGTCTGGCATAATGAAATGCTGCCAGATGTTATGCTGTCTTCATGACTGTGTGCATGTTTGAGTCCACCGATGTGTCAATCAGCTCACAGAGCACGGTGACAGGAGGCACCCTTATCATGCTCCTGATCTTAGGGGAAAAGCACTCCATCTTTCACCACTGGGTATGATGTTAGTTATAGGTTCTTCTTAAATACTAAAGAATTTTCCTTCTATTCCTAGTTCACTGAGTGCTTCATCATGAAAGAATGTTAAATTCTGTCAAATGCTTTTTCTGCATCTGCTGAAATGATCATATGTCTTTTCCCCGCTTTTATTCTATTACAGTGAGGTTCATGTGTATAGTCGTCTGTTATGCTGTCTAAAGAAGGTATTTGAAATGAAGAAATCATTGATTTTGCAGAATCCTATCATGGGTTCTCCAGCATCATGTCTATCACCAAGGCCATATTTTCCAAATACTGATCCTTCCTCTTTGCTTCCAACCTTTGCATCCCAATCATCAGTAATGATCAATAATACATCTTGATCGCAAGTTTGATCGATTTCAGATTGAAGAAGTTGGTAGAATTCTTCTATTTCATCCTCACTGGCTTTAGTGGTTGGTGCATAAATTTGAATAATAGTGGTATTAACTAGGTTTCCCAGTTGTTGTTAAGTGCTGTTGAATTGGTCCCGACCCAAAGTGACCCTGTACAGGGTTTCTGAGGCTGTAAATCTTTATGGGAACTGAATGCCTCATCTTTCTCCCGTGCAGCGGCTGATAGTTTCACACTGCTGACTTTAAGGTTTGCAGCCCGATTCATAACCACTACGCTACCAGAGCTCCTCGGGCTTCCCTGTAGGTGCATGGATATTATCCTATAACAGACAGCATTATACCTCATGACTAATCTGGGTATGTTCTTTTTGACAACGAATATAACACCATACCTCTTCAATTTATCACTCTCAGCATAGTAAACCATGTGATTGTCAGATTCAAAATGGCCAATACCAGTCCATTTCAGCTCACTAATGCCTAAGATATCAATGTTTAAGTTTTCCACTTCATTTTTTACAATTTCTAATTTTCCTAGATTCATACTTCATACATTTCATATTCCAATTTTCAGTGGATGTTTACAGCTGTTTCTCTACATTCTGAGTTGTGCCCCATCAGCATTTTGAGTGTGCCCCACTGGCTTTACTCCACTCGCATCATCACGGTCAACTCTACTTTGAGGAGCCAGCTCTTCCCCAGTCACATTTTGAGTGCTTTCCAATCTGAGTGGCTCATTTTCCGACACTATATCTGACAGTGTTTCTCTGCTATTCATGAGGTTTTCAGTGACTAAATATTCAGAAGTAGTTAATCACTCTTTCTTCCTAGTCTGTCTTTGTCTGGAAGCTCATTTGAAATCTGTCCACCATGGGTGACCCTGCTGGTATTTAAAATACCGGTGGCATAGCTTTCAGAATCACAGCAACTCATAAGCCACCACAGTACGACACACTGACAGATGAGTGGTGACCATTTGGTTTTAAGTGGAAACTGTCACTTTAAATTTCAAGGAGATCTGTGAACATGCATAGTAGAACCCTCCAGGGATGGGGGTTGGGTGTCCATTCGCTCAGGCATCCCCTCTAGTTACCAGAATGGAGGTGTGCAGGCAGTGAGAGACTAGTGAACAGACACCAAAAAAAGAATGTCCACATTTGTATCGCCACGGTTCTTTCAGGCGTTCGTGGCTGTTCTGATCCTTCTCCTGCCTGGCTTCCCCCAAGATGGCGGCTCCAGGAGCAGCTGAGCATCTTGAATTTGAAAGCAATGGATTTCTTGAGTCTGCTACAAATTCCCCTAGCTATACGCCTTCCAAGCTTCTAAGTATTCCTTTATATGTGGTTCAGTGTTCTAGCACCATCCCCTGAGCCTGCTTGGTCTGATATTCTGTGTTGTTGCTGACAAAGCTCTTCATTTCACATTTACCTAATCTGCCTTGTGTGGCGCTATCTTGGTATAGAGAGCTGTAAGTCTGCCTTTGCATAATGATGTCAAAATATACAATACCTATGTGGTACTGCGGGTTAATGCACTGGACTGCAGGGTCGGTTTGAACCACAAAGTCAGCAGTTCAAGCTCACTAGCTGCTCCTCAGATATCCTTTATAGGAACACACTATGAATCAGAACCAACTCAACAGCACTTAACAACAAAAATGTACCTTATTGTGCTTTCAAAATTAAAAATTATTTCAAAGCCCTTTAAGTGTTTCAATGAGATAGACTAAATTATAGTACATAAATACTATGAAAACTGTACTTTTTGAAGTACTATTCAAATAAAGGAGCTCTGGTAGCGTAGTGGTTACGAATCGGGCTGCGAACCTTAAGGTCAGTGGTTCGAAACTACCAGCCGCTCCGCGGGAGAAAGATGAGGCTTTCTACTCCCGTAAGGATTTACACCCTCGGAAACCCTGTACAGGGTCGCTATGGGTCGGTTCCGACTCGAAGGCACTTAACAACAACAACAACATTCAAATAAAAGAAATGTGCTTTATCAGATCAAGAACAAATCCAGAGTTTTGGATGCTATTAACTACCAAAACAAGAGTCTATAGGTTTTGAATGAGTTTTTGAACCTCTTTTGATATCAATACTCATAAAGGTAAAACAGAATCCTTGAAAACACTCTACAGAGTCTCTGTGAGTCAGAACTGACTCAACGGCACGTTAACAACAACAAAGGTAAAACAATGGTTTATTTAGAAAAGTTTTACGCAAAATATAATCTAATATCACAAGTCATTAATACTTTAGCATTAATAATCGGATAGCTAATGTCTCTTGGCCTTTCATGACTCCCAACTAAATAGGGCTATTGTTCAATTCTGTCTAGTTGGAATCTTTGGCATATTTGAGTAAATAAAAAGTTGTACCCTGACAAAAATAAAACATAAACTTTTATAGAGCATAAATTTACAAATTATACATGGATGCAAGTCCTGATGGAGTCTTCCTACAAGCTAGATTTTGAAAACCAAGTTCAGAGTCCTAACAGAGGCACTAAAATCTAAAGAGCGGTTGCTGGTGCTTTTGTACTTTCAACAGCAGGGCCTGGAAGGAAGACTAAAATGTGTGGCTTCTGATCAGATGTTGAATGTGCTAAGAAGCTCACACTTGGGTGCTTGAGGTTGGTAAAAACAAAGAACTCTGTTTGAAATAAAGATGATTATCCAAAACCAAGGGTTAAAACAAGACATTCTTATATGAAGGCTGATGCTCTGGTGTGGCGTTTTAGGATAAGTACTTGACTGCTAACTGCAAGGTTGTTGGTTAAAAGCCACTAGCTGCTCCTCGGAGACCCTAAAAAGGGTCTGAACTAACTCCACGGCACTTAGGAGCAAGAACATATGAAGGCTAGGAGTTCTGGTGTAGGATAAGCACTGGACTGCTAACTGCAAGATGGGTGGTTCAAACCCACTAGTTGCTCCTCAGAATGAGTCAGAACCAACTCCATGTTACTTAACAACAACAACAACATATACAGACTAAGATTCCAAGGGAATAAATGACCACTCTAACCCAGGATTTCTCAACCTTGACACTCCTGACATTTTGGGTTGAAATTTCTTTGTTGTGGTGGCTGTCCTGTGCATTGCAGAATATTTAACAGCACCCCTAGCTACTACATACTAGATGCCAATAAGAACTGCTCCAATCCCAAATTGTAACAAAAAATGTTACAAAATGTGCCAAGGGTACACAATGAACAAAGATGTAAATGTAATCTATGATAATAACAACATAAAATGGGGGTAAAATCGTCCCTGGCTGAGCACTACTGCCCTAACATTTACTAGGTTAACCTATTTCTCTCCTTTCAAAAAGGGCACAACTGGGATGAGTGGGAGGGGAGATGGAGAGTAATTTATTAAGGGCACTGAGTTTCTGTTAAGAGTGATGAAAACTTGTTAATAAATAGCGTGATGGCTATATAACACAGTGAATGCAATGAAGGGGTGGAATTATACATGTGACAGTGGCTGAAATGGCAGGAAGAATGAAGGCAAGAATAAGAAAGGCACCAGCATTTCATGAAACATTGTCATATTTAAAAACATTTAGTAGTTTATGTGAAATTCAAATTTAACTGCACATTCTGTGTTTTTCTTACTAAATCTGACAACTCTATGTGTTACAGAAATAAAAGATCTGAAATATTACATTCCTGTGATGGCTACGTCCTTGCCCACTTTCACTGTGCTCACCAAAACAAGCTAATAGAACTAAAAAAGAAAATGTATCAGAGCTTCTTTGACGCCCATTCTATTTAACACCGTAAGGCCTTGCGGATCATAAACTGGGCTGTAGTTTTATGACAGACTTACCATTGGGGTCTTTCCTGAACAACGTATTCATGACTGTAGCATGGAGTTTCACAGTATTCCACTCTTTCACTGTTAGTCCAGATGAATGAAAACGCTCCAACACTCGATCAGCTAATTCCTGAAGCCTGCAGAATTTAAAGACAGAAGTTGTAGTAAACCTCAAAGCCCTGGTGATTAATTTAACAATTCTTATGGAACATCTAAGGAGCCCTCGTAGCACAAAGATCAGCGTTCAGCTGCTAACCAAAAGGTGGGTGATTCAAACTCATCAGCTACTACCTCATGGGATAAAAATATGGTACTCTGCTTCTGTAAAGATGACAGCTTTGGAAAGCCTAAGTGACAATTCTACTCTCTGCTATGGGGCCACTAGGAGGCAGAATAGACCCAACAGCAATGGGTTTGGCTTTAGTTCCTGATGGCATCACTTACTCTGTGCTATCACCACACAAGGCCCTGCATAAGAGGAGGAAGAAGAGGCTGCAGCCCCCACCATCCTGGAGCTCACAGGCTTGTCAAGAGAACAGACACAGAAACAAATCATGGTAATATACCATGGGGAGTGTTGGGAGGCATCATAAAAGTAGTGATCGTCTCTACCTGGAAAGGGCCATATTTTCACAGGAGGTTTAAACTTAAGTCTTGAAGGATTAGTAAAGACTTGTGGATAAAACCAGGAAACGAAGGACCCTTAAAACAGAAGAAATAGTATATGCAAAGAAGCCCAGGCATATAAAATCATAGAATATTTGAAAAGCTGAAAATGATTTATCATAGCTCTACCAAGAATGGAGATGAGCTGGATTTATAGTAATGATGTGACTTGGGAAGCCATCGAAAGGCTCTTAAGAAGGGAAGAGTCTGGTCAGAAGCACATTTTTGAAAGCAAACTCTTTTGGCAGAGTGGAAAATGCATGAGCAGTAAAGAGGTCAGCAGTACTAAGGTCAGCTAAGAGCTGTTGGTAAGTGCTGTTGAGTTGGTTCCGACTCATAGCCACTCTGGATAGGGTTTCTAAGGAGCGGCTAGTGAGTCTGAACTGCCGACCTTGCAGGTCAAACGGACCTTGCGGTCCAGTGTTTATCTACAGCACCAAGTAGGAAAACCAACAAACATCCAGTGTGTGTCAGGCACTGTCCTAAACACTTTACAGCTATTAAATCATTTAATCCTCAAAATAAATTATTCTCTTACTTGACCAATGAGGTAACTGAGACACAGAGATCATGAAACTTGATCAAGGACACATAACTAAAAAGTGGCTGAGAAAAATGAGAACCCATACAGTCTGGCTTCAGAGACCAGCCTCTTACCGACTGCAGGACAGAAGGGAAATGATGAAGACCCACACTACAGCAGGGGTGGTGAGGACTGAACCACGGGGATGAATTTAAAGCACTACATAAGAGGTAAGGTCTTGATACTTATTTGGATGTGGCAGTGTTCGTGGAGAGGACGTTGAGAATGGCTCCCAAGAGTCTGCCTTAAATGACCAGATGGGTTATTAAGGTGCAGCATTCTGGAGAAGTGCTATGTGATGCTGTTATGCTGAGCTGTGTCACACACAGGGTTAATACTGTGCATGATTTCATGTCTATGCACAGGGTATCAAGGAGGACATGTCCAGCAGAGAGACGGAAATATAAGTCTGGAAGGCAAGAGAAAAATCTGGGCAATAGATACAGATTTGGGAATCATCTATGCACAAATAGCAGTTAAAATCATGGGATAGATGCAGTCACCTGGGGGGAATTCACACATAGCCAAGAGGCAAGCTAAGAACAAAGCCCTATGGGACGTTTTATCTAAGGGGCAGAGATGGTAACAGCAAACACAATCGATAAGAACAAGGAAAGAAAAGGGAGACGAAGAGGCTAAGACACAGGTTGAAGGTGGGTGGGGATAATCAGTACAGTGCATTGCTACAAAAAAATAAAGTAAGAAAAGAAAGAAAAAAAAAAGCACCTACTTATTTCTGACAAACAAAATGTCAATAGAAACCTGCCAAAACTGCTTCACTGGCACACCAGAACCAGAAGCCAGGTTACAGAGGTTTAAGGTTGGGGAGGTGAACGTGACAAGTGCACATAACTCAAACAATTTGAAAAGAAATGAATGCCTTGGAAATTGGAACTATAGAGTTGAGGAAAAGTTGTTTGTATCCTTTTCAATGAAGAAAGGAGTTGAAAATGCTTATTGACATTAAGGTTATTCAATAGAGAGGACAACAAGGAAACTCTAGACAACAGAGACAATTGACAGAATATAAGATCTCGAAGGAGACAGGAATGGCTGATGGCCTCACAAAACCCCAAAACCTATTGCCATCAATTCTGACTCATAGTAACCCTACTGAACAGAGGAGAACCCCATAGGGTTTCCAAGACCATCATTTTCAACAGAATCTGGCTGCCTCATCTTTCTCCTGTGAAGCAGCAGTTGGGGTCAGACCCACCTTTCAGTTATAAGACAAGTGCTTACCCACTAAACCACTAAGGATCCAGATACCCTCAGAGGTGGTGAAAATACAATGAAACCTGTCAGAGCCAGAACTCAATGGGACTGCCTTGTTTTCCTGAGTATTGCAAATGTTATGGCTTTGGCAAGGTGAAGTCTTAATGCTTTTCTACCAGTTCCCATTAGTGAAAAATATCCGAGTTTTCCTTCTCTGACAGGTTTCCTACATTACACAAGTCTGGCTTTCACAAAGTTGTTAACTGGGTGGTGTCAGTTCGGACTCATACTTACCCTGTCTAGGATTTCCACGAGTGGTGGTTGGGTCTGAACTACCAATAAAACAAGTCCATGCCCTTAAGCAACTTACATTCTAGTAGAGACAGACAGTAAGCAAATACACACACTGTCAGGTAGTGATAAACACCATAAAGAAAATGCAATAGAAAAGAGGGAGCAGACTGGGGTTGGGGAATGAGTGTGCTGTTTCAGAGAGGGAACAACATCCCCTAGAACTGCAGACAAGTGAAGCAGGCATGTGTGTGGTATGAGAGAGGAAAAGTGGGAGAGAAGTGATGAGGTCAGAGAGGTAAGGAGGACCAGCTCACAGTCTCAGAGTAAGGACTTTGGTTTTTATTAGAAGGCTTCAAAAAGTCTATGGAAAAATTCCATTATCTTTTCATTCCATTTTCATGAACTTTTTGAAAAACCCTCAAACTAGTGCTCAAACTACCTGCAAAGTCGGTTTGAACCACAAGGTCAGCAGTTCAAGCTCATCAGCTGCTCCTCGGAAACCCTATACAGGGTCACTATGGGTTGGAACCGACTCAACAGCACTTCGCAACAGCAACAACAAACATACTATAAGTGAACTTATAGAGGATTTTCCTCAGAAGAATGACATTTGACTGACATAAACACACACACGCACAAATAAAGAAAAGCCTCTGGCTGCTGTGAAGAGGGCATACTTTTGCGGAGGCATGGGTAGGAGATGGAAGGCAACGGGAAGGCGGTTGTAACAGCCCATGTAGCTGAGTGAGTAGCAGTGGATGGAGGTGGTGGGAAGGGGAAGATTTTCTGAGACACGGGAGTTAAAGGAGTTTAAACGAATTTTCTTCTGAGCAACTGAACAACTGAATGTCAAAGAGCAAAATACATTTAAGTATTCGTGAGAAAATTCTATAGAGAGGGGATAGCAACACAATGGAAAGCTAGGCTGAAGCCATGCTGTGAAGACCCTGTGGGACAGACAGGGCTGGAATCTTATTTGATTGGCACAGGAAGTAAGTGAGGGTCTTTAAGAAGCAATATGCAAAGGGAAAATAAAGGCAAAGAAATCATTTAAGAGAGACATTTCAATCTTTCCTTGCTTCCTTACAGAATTACCTGTTTGTTCTGATTATAAAAAATGTTCATTGTTATGAAAAATACAGAAAAACATAAAGAGGGAGACATTCCCTCACTACCCAAGATATACACTGCTAGCTTTTTGGTATGTATTCTCTCAGGTTTTTTCTACACACATATATTCCTCTTTTTTAAAAATTTTCACTACTACAATAGATCACTTTATTTTTTTTAACCTTTCATTGTGAACTACATGAAGGTTTACATAGCTGATCAGTTTTCCATTAAAAAATCCATACACATTTTGCTTCATCTCATTGGTTGCAATTCACATCATGAAACAACACTTATCACACTTCCTCATGTGCTTCCTGTTTTCCATTTCTCCTTTCCTAACTCTTCTTAAATTTTATCCTTGGGTAAATGCCGCCCTTTGTATATCAAGAGGCTGATGACTCTAAGGTGTGAAGTACCTCCCTAGTACTATTGTTCCCCTTATGACCTATTGTTTGGCTGGAGATTGAGTCCCGGGGGGGTGAATTCATTTCCAGACTTGAAGGATGACTAAGGGCCAGAGTCTTAGAGCTTCCACCAGTCTTTATCTGACCAGTAAACCTAGTCTTTTTAAATAACTTTGAGTTCTGTTCCACATACACATCAATTTGGAAAAAAAGAAACATATTTTTTTATAACATACCTATTTCATTAATATACACTGAAATTTTTCCATGTCATTAACTGTTTTTTAATATAATTTTAGCTTTTAGAGTATTTTAAAGCAGCAATGGCAAGACTAACTAATAAGATCTTAGTAAGACTGGAGAAAGAAGCTGATGTTTTTCCATGTAGACTATCACACAATTCACAATAAAACATTAGAAAAAAAAAAGAATGGAGAAAGAGGGTTGATTCATAAAAACAGCTATGTCCCTAAATTCCTGGGGGGAAGATAAAATGCATCCATACTACACATAACCTGAATCAATTAATTGTGTATGTGGACCTTCAAGCAAAGACCTTAAAAGTATTGGGTCTAAAAGTTTCAGATTAACACCATTATACAAATGTAAAAATTTAAAAATATTTCTAAACAGTATAATATAATGTAAGTCTGAATATAACCATGGTACTGCGAAATCAGTCATCTCGCCTTTATGACAACAGTAAGAAATCTATTATCTGACTATTTTGTAAATTCACAATTGTGGCAGCCAAGATTTTGTGTCAATGTGCTGGGCTGGGATTTGGTTTGGCAATTAAGATGCAGTAACCCCCCATGAAGAGATCTACTATAAAATAACCACTTCCCCCATGATATAATCT